CGGTGTAAGTTGAGGACTACCTACAATCGGACATAATGAAATATTTTGCTGCTGGTAAATAAACATCATTTTGCTGCAATAAACAGAGCTGTGAAAATATTTACAGACCCCTCACATCCCGGACATAAACTGTTTCAACTCCTTCCCTCAAAACGACGCTATAGAGCCCAGCACACCAGAACAACTAGACACAAGGACAGTTTTTCCCCGAAGGCCATCACTCTGCTAAACAAATAATTCCCTCAACACTGTCCAACTATTACCAAGTCTGCATTACTATTACTATTAATCTTCTCATCGCTCCTTATCACCCATCCCCTCCCACTTGTGACTGTATGACTGTAACTTTGTCGCTTGTATCCTTACAATTTATATTGTCTCTTTCCTAGTATGATTTCATTGCTGATTGTACCCTATGACTATTACTAAGTGTTGTACCTTATGATTCTGGACTCTTGATGAATGTATCTTTTCTTTTATGTACCCTGAGAGCATTTGCACCAAGACAAATTCTTTGTGTGTCCAATCACACTTGGCCAATAAAGAATTCTATTCTGTTCTGTTCTATTCTATTCCTATTTATATTGATTGTTTCTTAGTATTATTTGATTGCTTATTGTACCCTGTGACTATGATTAAGTGTTGTACCTTATGATTCTTGATGAATGTATCTTTTCTTTTATGTATACTGAGAGTTTTTGCACCCAGACAAATTCCTTCTGTGTCCAACCACACTTGGCCAATAAATAAAGAATTCTATATGTAAGTTTCACCCATCAAGCATAATTCCACAAATCTCTTCATACTGCTGGCACGATTATTCTCAAAAGCCTCTTGTTAAGGGTGAAGTAGGCATGATGCTAAGCTCATTAGGAGGGGGAACCAAGCCAATATTGTAGCAAGCAGATGATTAATAATGAAGATTTACAACCAAGGTATGCGATGTCAGTTGGTGTTTTGAAACAAAAAAAAGCTGGAATGAAGGGAACCTGTCGTGCCACCATCAGAGTCTGAATCTGCGGGGGAAGATGAGCTGGAACAACAGCAGACAGAGAGCGAGAGGGTGGCTCCATTGGCCTTGGAGGAAACTGGGGAAGGGCAGAGTCAGTCCAGGCAAGACTTCTCTGAATTAGTAAGGCCTGCAGACAGGGAGGAGCAGGAGAAACAGAGCTCAGGAGAAGAGTAAGGACCACCCCCTCCTGATCCGAGAGTATGGAGAGAAGAGAGAAGGCAAGAACAACGCAGACTGAGCCGGCTCTGAAGGAGGAGAGTTCCCCGCCCCCCTCTTCAAGTCACACCTGGGGACTGAGTTGTAAGGAGGTGCTGGTGGGAGGGGCCTTTGTCAGGAACAAGCCTTGAATCTGTGGAGCCTTGTGTGCACTTGCTGACCTGGAGGTTACTGTTTGGCTAAACCTGACTTATTGGACTGCTTGACTAACCTGGCTTACTGGACTACTCGCAGCCAGAAGATGCTGAAGATGCATGTGAGAGCTTTGCTCCAGGATTTGTAGTAAAAGTGGGGACGTTTGGGGGGCAAAGTTGGATCATTAAAGAGGAGTTAGACCTGTTCTTTGGCTGTGTTGCTTAAGTGCCACGCCCTGGATCATCACAGGAGCAATTTTGGTTGTGGTTGATATCTCCAAGAAAGAGGGTTTATCAGTTGTTCTACTTAGCTATAGATCCTCTGGCTCTTTCTTCACTCACATTAATTTGGGGGAATGTTCATTTAGTTGGAAATGATTCATGGGCTGACTCTCTACTCAGTGTTTCCACTTTGGTCACTTGAGGGTGCATGGAGTTCAACTCCCAGAATTCCCCAGGCAGCTGGGGAGTTATGGGAGTTGAAGTCCTCGCATCTTTTCCTCATACAAAAAGTTTTTTATTTTTAACAACAAACATAGACAAATACAAACATAAAACAACTAAATAAAACCATCTTTCAATTGTACAGTGTGTCGATTGGTGCATGATTCTTGTGCACAATATGTATAGTCTTTTCCTCTTGAATTTACATTTGCATTCATATAACATTAATCAACTTTCTTTTTTTTAATTTTTATTGGTTTTTAAGACAAACAAACAAACAAAACATAAAAACATCAAGCCATCTTCCATATATATATATATACACACACACACACACACACACAAACAGTGTGCCGGTTGGTTTACAAATTGTTTTGTGCTTCCATTTTGTAGTCTTCAATTACAATTACATTGTATATATTGTCATATTTTCAATCAAGTATTAAATACATTAATATCATTGTTAATCAATCATTTGACTATACTTTTATTCATTCATGTTTCACGAAATAATCATATTTTACTTAGTTTGTTTTTGTAACAGTATCATATTATCATCTCAAATCTATCCTACAATCATTTTGTAGATATAATAAGAAAAGAATACATCTTTATATATTTATTATTTTCTAAGAATCTACATATTTCATTACCATGTTTTATTGTCTAACTATTGATAGAATAGATCTCAAATTTTATAAAATTGTTTATCATCTTGTTCTCTGATTTCAAATATCAATCTACTCATTTCAGCACATTTCAATATTTTCATAATGATTTCCTCCTGTGATGGTATTTTCTCATTTTTCCAGTTTTTAGCAAATACAATCCTAGCCACTGTTAATACATTTACAATCAGGTATTTCAATTCTTTAGTATATATTTCAGGTAGAATTCCCAATAAAAATATCTCTGGTTTCAAATCTATATACTTTTTTGTCATTTTTTCCAACCACATGTGGATTTTAGTCCAATATGTTTTAGCATCCACACAAGTCCACCACATATGGTAATATGAGCCAGGTGTCTGATGACATTTCCAACATTTTTTGGATTTGTTCTTGAACATTCTTGTTATTCTTGTCAGGGGAAAATGCCACCTGTAAAACATCTTATACAAATTTTCTGGTTTCTCTTCAGATCGCATTAATCAACTTTCCATGTCATATTATATTATTATTACACCACCATTAGATTTTAGTTTCGAATCCACATTATTCTTTAGAGCAGATCTCAGTTCTTACCAATTTTAATTCATATTAAAAGTCATTCTATAATAATCAATTATAACATATCATTACTGTTAAATTATACTTTAATTTTCCACTTTTCTATCTAACCATTGGTAAAATAAATCCCATATCTTAAAATATTCTTTTTCTTCTTGCTCTCTAATTGCTAATGTTAATCAACCCATTTCTGCACATTCCATTATTTTCTTAATCACCTCCTCCTCTATTGGAATTTTCTCATTTTTTTTCTCATTTTTCCAATTTTGAGCAAATACAATTCTAGCTGCAGTTAAAACATTAATAATCAAGTATGTCGGTTCTCTGTTATAACCTTCGGGTAAAATTCCCAATAAAAATATCTTTGGTTTCAAATCTATATGCTGTTTTGTCATTTCAACCTTTAAGAATCCCAGGTTTTATCATGGCTTTGATAATGCCAGAAAATATATGGTAGGGAGGTAGAGGTGCTTTTCCCAATGTGACAATGAACACCTAATGCTCCGTGTCAGACAATATGAATAGCATTTCCTATTGTTTCAGCGTTTGTCTGGGATCACAATTGGTTGAAATGTGCATCTGACTCAGTGGTGGTATTCAATTTTTTTTACTACCGGTTCTGTGGGCGTGGCTTGGTGGGTGTGGCAGGAAAAGGATACTGTAAAATCTCCATTCCAATCTCATTCCTGGCGGAAGATTACTGCAAAATCCCCATTACCTCCCCACCCAGGGGTGGGATTCTACCAGTTTGCACCTATTTGCTAGAACCGGTTGTTAACATTCTAAGCAGTTCAGAGAACCGGTTGTTAGAAGAAATTACTGGCCTAATCCTGTAAGGAAGGCAGGAAGGAAACATTCTGGGGTTGCTTACAGAAACTGCCTCTCCATTAATCCTTATTACATTCTTGGCAGGACTAGACTTCCTGTCTCAGGAACTTCTCTGGAGTTTTTTTTCCCCTCCTTTGCTGGTACTTTGCTTGTGTGGAGTGACCATTCAAAGTTACAGTGGCACTGAAAAAAGTGACTTATGACAATTTTTCACATTTATGGCTTTTGCAACATCCCCACAGTCATGAGAGGCCAGGCAAGGAGATGCGTGCCTCGATGTGAGTGATATTGACTTGGCCACACCTTGCCAATAACATGACCACCAAGCCACGTCCACTCAGTCACATGATCACCAAGCCATACCCACCAATTAAGCCATGCCCACAGAACCAGTTGTTTAAAAATTAGAATCCGACCCCTGTCTCCACCCCACTAACCTGCTTTCCAGCTCCATTCTCCTGTGCAGGGCAACAAAATAAGACCCAGCTGATCAGCTGGGACTTAATGGAAGGCACAGAAGAGATGGGGGTGGGGCCAGTCCGAGGTGGGATTTGCCTGTTTTCTGAACTACTCAAAATTTCCTCTACCGGTTCTCCAGAACCTGTCAGAACTGGCTGAATACCACCTCTGGTCTGACTGGGTCTGCAAGATGAATTAGCTCCCAGGTATAACACTGAAAATATTTCTGTGGTTCACCAATTTTTACCAGAATAATCATGTGATTTTTTTAATGGACTGATTGCGTTTAAGCTATCACACAATTCAAAAGCTCAGCAAAGAAAGTCATATTGTTATGTGGGTGGAAATGTTATCCTGTTTGCTGTTATTTCTTGTTTGAAATCCATTCCATGAAACGGGTGGGGAACCAAGCCCTTTGATGATATGCGGACTTCAACTCCCAGAATTCCTGAGCCAGCTGACTCAGGAATTCTGGGAGTTGAAGTCCGCAAGTCATAAAAAGGTCATAAAAGGGTCATAGAGTCATAGAGTCATAAAAGGGGACATGATTCTCCACCCCTGCCTTAAAACCAGTTTATGGCAGATTTAGCCCTGGAATCAATTCCTGGTTTGAAGCATGATTGACATATATGCCTTGATGAGCATAACAGACCATGTTGCCTTCTGGTTTCCCAACAGGTCACCCAGATTGACCAAAAATTACATGACATCTTGGATACTCTTCAGATCCAGCTTGGGAAGCGATCACCGGTTCCGGCTTCATCTTCATCTAAGTGACTGCAGATCATATTAGCTTCTGAACCAGAAGATGTAAACTCATCTGAACCATCTTTGCTTCCTTTTCCCATTTCATACGTTACCAGAGTTGATGATGAGTTCCAAACGGCGCCATGAGGACCACTGGGATGAAACCGGTCCCCGCCTACCATTCTGTTTAAGCCATGTTCCTTTCTTACATTCGCTTCATGCATCGTGAGATAGAATCAACCTGTTGGAGAAGTCTTACAGGAATTAATAAATTGCCAGGAAGAGCAAAGGATTTCTCCTGGCTGCAGTAGTGGGCTGCAACCGGTTTAACAACTAGTTTGGCTAGCGCCTGCCCACAACATTCAAAAACCTCCCATTTTAAGCTTAAAAACTTACCTTCTATGTCAGCGCTGGTGAGTAAAACAGCTGAGGCGTGGCAATCCACCGTGCCACACGAATCAGCTGAGTTTAAAAAATGGAAATATGGGACAGGAAAGGGCAGGGGAAGATAGGCGGGGCCAACTGCTCACCAGAACTACCAGTTCGCTAGAACCAGTCTGAACTGGTATTGGCCCATCACTGCCCAGCTGTAAGACTCGATTAGTTCTATGTCCAAAAATGAATTCTTGGACAGGGAAACCTCTGAGCGACCATCTCCACATCTGGATGCTACTTGCAGGGAGGGAAACACCATCTGGTTCGTGCTGATATGTGCATTATAGGGTTGAACTCAAATGCGGTGCCTTAGCTCAAAGTTTCAGACTGACACTTCTTACTCGGAGTAGAAAGTAACTTTGATAAAATTACCACGAGTCATTAATAGGTTTCCTGAAGTCCTCAACCATTTTTTTTAATTATTTCTTGCTTCCATAATATGGATTGAAGCATTCTTAGGATTAAGAACTATACGTGCTTCTAGTACACATATAAGGTAAAGGTAAAGGTTCCCCTCGCACATATGTGCTAGTCATTTCCAGCTCTAGCGGGGTGCTGCTCATCTCCATTACAAAGCCGAAGAGCCAGCACTGTCCGAAGACGTCTCCGTGGTCATGTGGCTGGCATGACTAAATGCCAAAGGTGCATGGAACGCTGTTACCTTCCCACCAAAGGGGTCCCTATTTTTCTCCTTGCATTTTACATGCTTTCGAACTGCTAGGTTGGCAGAAGCTGGGACAAGTAATGGGAGCTCACTCCATTAGGTGGTGCTAGGGATTTGAACCGCCGAACTGCCGACCTTTCTGATCGACAAGCTCAGCGTCTTGGCCACTGAGCCACTGCATCCCTTTTAGCACACACATACGCACACACAAATCATCAAAGGCAAGGAAAGCACTTGTACAAATCTTTAACCTTTACAAAGATACCCCTTCCTTCTTTCTGTAATTGTGAATGTTTCTTCACGTTTAATAAACATACTGTATATACTTCCTTTTTTGCATTAATGCACAAAGAAAATTTAAAAAACAACAGCAACAAACTGGTGCAAACAAGAGAAATAGGAATATCGATCTATTTCCTTATTACAAAGACATTTAGAAAAACATATGCTGCCTGTTAACAAGCAACATGATAAATAACATTGCAGAATCCAATCTGGATCAATCATTGAGACCAAAGGTTTAGACTTCTGAGGTTTCGGACTCGTTCTGAAACCCATCCTCAGGGAATTTTTCTCTATCAGAAATTGTCAACACATTCCAGATTAAATCTCTGCTCCTGGTGACCGACCCAGATTGGATCCTGCCTTGGTGGCACAGTGGTTAGAGTGCTGATTGCCACTTCTGCTGATTGCCAGCTGCCTGCAATTTGGTAGTTTGAATCTCACCAGGCTCAAAGTTGACTCAGCCTTCCATTCTTCCGAGGTGGGTAAAATGAGAACCAAAAATTGTTGGGGGCCATAGGCTGACTCTGTAAAACCACTTAGAGAGGGCTGTAGAGCGCTATAAAGCAGTATATAAGTCTAAGTGCTAAGTGCTATTGCTATTATCCTAGGACACATATGATAAAAAATGATAAATAATCTACATCTAATAGATTTTTAAAAAAATTTAAAATTAAAAAAAAATTAAATTAAATTTTTTTAAAAAGTTTTCAAAAGAGTGTGTGGGATATTCCACGTATGGCTATTTAATGGATATTGATTTGCACTTTTATTTTTCGTTCGTTGGCTTGTTTTATTTATGTAGTTCATTTTGTTGACAGCTTGGCCATATTCTATATCAGTGAGAAGAACCTGACCAGTGTTGCGATTCAAAACCAGTAGTGGGATTCAAACTTTTTACTACTGGTTCTGTGGGTGTGGCTTTGTGGGCGTGGCATGGCTTGATGGGCATGGCTTGGTGGGCATGGCAGGGGAAGGATACTGCAAAATCCCCATTCTCTCCCCACCCCACTAACCTGCTTTCCAGCTCTGTTCTCCTGTGCAGGGCAACCAAAGAAGACCCAGCTGATCAGCTGGGACTCAATGGGAGGTAGAGAATAGATGGGGGCAGGGGCCAATCAGAGGTGGTATTTGGTGGTTCTCCAAATTACTCAAAATTTTCGCTACCGATTCTGTAGAACCGGTCAGAAATGGCTGAATACCACCTCTGAACCTCACACACTCTCTGAGAAATCTTGCAAGAGAGCTAAGCAATCTATTTTCCTCTCAGCAATTGTTGTCTGTGAATGAGCTAGGAGGACTTTGAAAATCAAAGAAAAGCACAAGTGATGTGAACACATTTTTATAGCTGGAGGTAGTCCCAAGGATCCATTTAAAGTTAATTCGGAAGACAAACTCAAGTGTGCAAAAGCTGTGCCTTTGTTTCAATGGACTTTTTCTCTCTTTTGCATCCCACGGAACCTACGGACTCACATAATTGTTCAACTTCATGCTGCCTCCTGTAATCGCTGGCTCTGTCTAAAGAAGCAAACTGCTATCCACAACCCAAGAAAACAGTGTTGTTTTGTTTTTAGAATTGTGCATCAGAGACAAATGCTGACAAAAATCTGGTTCGGGTTCATAAGCCAACTGCATATCATGTTCACTAATAAAACAGCAGTTTAGTTCAGATTTAAGCGCGTAAGAATCCTTGGGCAATGGAGACGCTGAGCATCAATTCATTTCACTTATCCAGCAATCATGAAACTCAGCTTAGCTGTTGCGCCAAACTTTGCTCCTACCTGAACAGGATCTGGGCCCACATAAGTTAGGGAGAGCTGCACATTTGATATCATATTGCCTTGAATGTTCATAAACCTTCAGGTTTTTTATGCATTCAAATAAACCTCCCTTTTTAGGACCCCGTAGTCCCTTTTTGGGATGGAGTCAAGGCGACTGGATGGAATTGAGTGTTTACTGCCCTTCCTGACACCTATGCAGAGTTCACAGCAATTTTTTTTTCCTTTGCACCCTGATAAACATTTGCTTCCTCCTAGGATTAAACTCTCAACCTTCTGAGTGGGAGGCAACCATCTCCACCACTAGGCTATCGGGCCAGTCTTTTTTTTTTATTGTATGCAATTTTTTAATGCATTCAACTTTGGCTTAAATCAGGGAATCATTGTAAATATTAAAAATAAAAATTTTAATTAAAAAACCATTGGCTTCAATCATCAGTAATAGTTGGGGAGGGAAGGAATGTGGAAAGAAGGAAGGAGTTTTACTTTAGGGATACAAGAGGCCAAACCTGAGAACCACAGAACCCATAGAATCAGAGGGCTGGAAGGGATCTTGCAGGTCTTCTAGTCCAGTGGTCGCCAACCAGTGGTCCATGAGAAAACTTTGGTGGTCCGCAGAGAAATGTCCCCCCCAAAGCAATTAATCCAGGCTGCACAGGAACACAAGGCTGGGTCACCCACATGGCCCGTGGGGACACAAGGCTTGCGAACAACACAAGGTAATGAGGGAAGGGGGGAAAGGGCGGAGGGGAGGGAACTTGGTCACGCGCCTGGCCACCGGGCTGCTTCTTTCCGCTTCTTTCTTCTTCTGCTCTTAGCTGCACACAAGGAAAGCTGCAAAAGTCTTTCTTTCTCTCCCCCAAACTCAGCCAGAAACGATGTCAGATGGGTGGACATTGTGCGCGCATGCATGGGGGGCACACATCGCCTTCTGGGTGCTGGCATGCGAGCGCGAGCATGCAAATGCACGCACACGTTTTGGCACAGGAGCCCAAAAAGCCACCACTGGTGTAGGGTTTCCTGCCTAGGCAGGGGGTTGGATTAGAAGACCTCCAAGGCCCCTTCCAACTCTGTTACTCTATTCTATTCTGTTCTGTTCTGTTCTATTCTATTCATTCTTCTATTCCATAAAGATTGTGGTCTTCAAAGGATTCTCTTTGTCCTAATCATAACCTCAAAGATTGTATTTTTATTTTATTTTATGTTTTCTTTATTTCTTCCCTTTTCCAAAGCCCACCCCTAAAAGAAAGGAGTGTGGGAATGGTAACCAGGAGTTGGTCTCTCTTTTTTTTTTTCAAACCTGGCTGCTCCTTGAGTGCCAGATCTTTCAATGTTTTCCTGCCAAATTTCCAACTGGAGAATCCCAGAGATGAATCATATAACCTTACTGAATTTCGCAACTTCCTCTCTGTTGAGTCTCGTGCTTTGGAAATGACCACTGAAGCACTGGACAATGCTTTACCTGGACATGAAGGTTTTAAAAAAACAACACTGCGACATTGCCACGACCTTTCCCTGGCCCGATGGCCAATGTGCCATGGCCAACTCAACTTGCCTCAGCCAAATCATTGCAGGACAGCTTGCGGCAGCCAACTTGGGACAAGTTGGGACAACTCGCCGCACGACAAGAGTTACATTCATATCAAAGACGTGGTGGAATAGAATCATTAAATAAACAATGGAAGAGGAGGGACAAAATGAAATGTGAATGACAAAAAGTAAAATAAAATTTAAATAATTAAATGGAATTGTCCAACAGCAAGTTGTTCCATGGTGAGTTGGGCATGGTGAGGTGGCCGTGGCGAGTTGGCTATGGCAGGTTGTTCCACTCTGTCCTTGGCTTCCCCACACACACACACACACACACACTTGTGATTTTGGCAACCTGCAAACACTGTCAGGCACTACTTATGGGATGTGTAAATTCTGTTCTAACTCCGTTATTCTGCTATTCTATTTATTTCAGGAGCTCAAAATGGCTCCAATATCTAATTCAGTTAAAAGAGCACCTGGATTGAACCTTCATGTAAAAGGGGAACAATTGTTCAAGGTTCAAGAAGCTACTATGGAAACAGTCATAGTGAAGAAATCCATTAGACACTAGTTGAGGGAGTAGGAACTGGTTGAGTTGCTGGAATTCTTGTTTTCTCATCCCTTTCCTCTCAAACAAAAATATTGCTAAGGAGAATAAGGGTAGCTCTGCTCCCTTTTTTATTTTAAGCACCTAGCAAAGAGGCCACCCACTACAACATAACAACG